TTCCCTAAGTCCAACTCTTTTGCCTGAGATTTTTACTACACAGAGAGGAACAAAAATCACTTTTTTACTATGTATCAAATATATTTCTTATAATGTGTCACTACCAGTTAGATCAGAAATCAACTCAAGGGCTTTGATTTTAAGAGGTCTTTTTACAGCTAACTTGCTGATAGAGCAGAGAAGGTATTTTGCATTTTCAGTAAATGCTTTTGTTAATCATGGGGAAGCTTACGTTCTGTAACATTAACAAGACGGAAACAATGTATAGCATTTAAATATTTTTGAGTGGGTATACAGTCAACTAATCCCTTTCCTAATGCTTCTAGAAACTGAAGTTTAAAATACTCTGTTTTAAGCAAGATATCTGCTGCTCCTGCAGCTCGTCCGAATCTGCTCTACTCAGCTTGCCTCTGCCCCGCAGCGAGCGCAAGATGGGAGAAAAGCTTTTCCAACACGCTAGAACAAAAGGTGCTGCGTCAGTGCTCGGCTACATCAGCGGAGACGGAACGAGAACTCGATACTAGAGGACTGCATCACGCAGATCCTTCACCCACGCTGTGGCCAAAACTCTTCTTGTGCGTCGGTTATATATAGCTCTCCCTACTTGGCTCTGCATTAAGACTTTATTAACCCTTTGCTAATTCCCTGCTACAGATGTTCTTCCACATTTTTTCCTCTAGGTCTGGCTTGGAAGCTGTTACATCTTTGTATCTGTGTGTCTGTTTTATTTGATTCACCTGTTTTAGTGAAGTCTGGCCCTGTAATTAAAGGCTATAAATAATCTGTACAGTGTTAGGTAGTTTACCAGGCCTTGCATTAAAGGCAAGAAAAGAAACTGTTTTCCCCAATTTTAGCTATCATAAACACCAAATGAACACTTTCAATCAACCTGCTGCTTAACGTTACATTAGAAGAAAGATGCATTGTGAAACGCATTAATAACCTTCAGGATGCTGTTCACAGTCTCCATTTTTTTCCCAGTACCTCTTTCATTAACTTTGTCAAAGGTTTGGGTTTTTCAGTTTCCTTTATTTGCTACAAGGATCTCTTTGTGCGTGGCACTGATTACTAGAATCTTATTTTCCATTTCCCCTCTAGAAACTGTGAGACGTTCCTTACCTTTTGACTTTGAGATTGCAATAATTTCTTCTTCTGGACTCATATCTCCTAGAATTTCCATTTCTTCTGGTCCTGCAACAGCAACAATATCCTCCTCTTCTGGTCCTGCAATGGCAGTAATCTCTTCTTCTTCTTCTGGTCCTGCAACAGCAACAATATCTTCATCATCTTCATCCTCCTTCAGATTTTTCTTCGGGAAAGTATTTTCTTCTTCCTCATCCTCCTCTCCAACTTCATCTACTGTAACAAAGTTTAGTTCCTCTTTTAGACGGTTGAAATCGGCCAGAAAATCATCTTCATCTTCATTAACTTCATCCAAAGTCACTAGAGGGTTATCTTCATTGTCCTCTTGTATTTCATCTACTGTCACCAGAGCACTGGGATCATCAGGCACCTGAGAGGAAGCACAATCTCCAGTATCCTCAGCAGCCACTTTCTCCTCCTCCTTGTGTTTCAGCACATCCTCGATATTCAAGTCCGTAGGCTCATTCAGAGGCAGCTCTTCTACTTCGCCGATCTCATCGACAGTTACCAAGGGTTCAGCTTTCAAATCCTGCTCCTCAAAAACTGACCGAGGGACGTCTTTATGAGAACTAAGGTCCTCCTGTTCAGAGATCTCATCCAAAGTAACAAGCGACTGTGGATCTTTTACTGCTTCCGACATAAGTTCTTCCTCTTCCATCACTTCATCCACTACAACCAGGCCCTGCGGGTCACTGAGCGCTTCTAAATTAGCAACTCCCATTAGCTGTGCAGTCACATCCTCCTCCTCCTCACCGATTTCATCCAGAGTGACAAAAGAGAGATCGCTTTCAGCAATGCGTGTCATGGAGCTCTTCCCTTTCCTTCTCTTGGAACTAGGCTCAGAAGAGGAGCTGGTTTTAGCACCGTCTTTTCTCTTTCCCCTCAGTGGATTTCGCCGCGTTTTAACGGGAGACTCAATTTCCTCTACGACCTCATCCACAGTAACAAATTCATCCAGGTTAAATGGAAACAGCTCTTCTTCCTAGGAAGTGTAAAAACATGACTATAACAAAGTTTTAACATTCACCCAGAGACACAAACACTTCCATCCACAGGGTGCCTAACAAAAAATATCTACACGCTGAAGCTGGCTCAAGGGGAAAAAAAGAAAATTCAACTGGACTTCAGGGTTGAAAAAAATTTTCAGGCCTTTAGTCTTATGTGGAAGAATTTTCATTATCAGCATTTGTGTTAAGTAATCAGATTTAATTCAGAAACCTAAAGCGTTTTTCAAAAGCACAGTGGATGAACAGACAAAATTTACGTCTATTAAAAGAACGGGGTCGATGCCCTGAATATTCACGTACATTTGTGCACTCCCTTGCAGGAAGCCTAGTGAAAACCCAAATACCTCCAGAGGATCCTTCAAAAATACTACTATCTTGTGTCAATACCTCCTTCTCTTCCCTAAGCATACGCTGTTGACCGCTGCTACAAGACGGGAGACGACATTAGATGTTTTGACCCAGCCAACTCGTTCTGTGTCCTGATGACTACACACTGGTTTATTTTGCCTCTCTGGTTCCAATCTCCGAACAACCATCTCTGTTTCACAGTGGTTCTCTGATGGCCCTATGCCCCAGCCCAGGAAAGGAAACCTCCCTTTGTTTCTCCGCAACCAACACCCTCAAGAAGATCATTTTTCTCCTTTCCGTTCAGGTCTGACTAGCCTCACAGAGGCTTTGGCAGACCTGCTGCTCCTCCTCTGCCAGCCATCTTTCGACAGGGGCCAGGGGGCAAGCTCCGGAGTTCTGGCAAATGCCTTCCTGTATTTTTATGTTTCAGGTAACAGAGCCTGACCCTTTCTAATTCTCTTCAGTCAATGGCATATTCTTACTGGAGCATGTCTTGCATCTAAAATTCCTCCTGCCCTGGAGTTTGTCTGTCCCAGCTTCCACCGGGGCTCACACAATTGATCCTAGGACCACTGGAAAGAATTAGCAGCAATTTAACGCCATCTGTAGCTGAGAGCATCTGGAGGAGGATGTATGGATAGATGTTGCATTTAATAAAAGACTGGATTAACCCAAATTAGTTTTAGGTTATTTGAATAGAGAGCAGTCATGTTTTTGGAACAGAGTATTATACTTTGTTCACTGTAAAACAGCTATGCTTTTATAAGCAGGATGGTAGGATAAGGTAGATAAGACGGGTACTTGAAGTCAATCAATAAATTAATTTCAGAGAGTAAAAAGCATCCAAATATCTATTCCACTTCAAATTACGCATTCAATTTCTTCCATGAACTATTCTGAAATTATTTTTTTTTCCCTTTCCAAAATATTCCATCTTACCATCAAATACTGGTCAGTATCTAACACAAGAAGAGTGAAAAAACTCTTGCCAAAGCAGAACTTCAAGGCCAAGGTAAGATGAACTTTCCTCTGTTAGAGAGTAAGACTGTAGCTAAGAAATACTAAAACCAGGCCTACAGCAGAAAAAGTAACGAGAAATTCAAAGGCTATATGCCTTTTCTTCGATTTCTTTTTTAAAAAGCTAATAAATACTGGGAACACCATGTGCCTCCATCCACATTCTGATGCAGAAGCTTGAGGAATATTTAATGCAAGGTGGGCACAGTGAAGAAAAAGAAAGTATCTGGTTACATTTCAGCTGAAATCAAACATTACTGTATTCTTTCCTCCATGAAAATGAGAGCATAGATCTTGGTTCTTATCAGCTGTGTAACAGTCAACAATAAAGCAGTCAGAATCGACATTACGAACCCTTTTTTCAAAGGGTGCAGAATTTCCTCTTGGGGATTAACAAACACATCTGGAACATCAGATATGAAAATGTTCTCTATTACCATCGTTACCATTGACTTCACAAACACACCACGCTGGTGATGTGAGAAGCTTATGTGGATTAAGACTAATAAAAGGATTCAGGTCTCCAACTTTATCTCAGAAATCGCTTTCCCATGGGGACCCACCACTTACCCGGTAAGTCTTTGATCTGATTCTGTAACTCTACTTCTACAAGCTCATCAATATGGATTTTTATTACCTTCTTCCTGCTTTTCCTTCCCAAAGCCCATGCTATCTAAGAGAAAGAGAAGGTATCTCTTTTCACCTTCCTGTAAAAATGCAGATTCCTCAGCAGTTGAGCCTACAGGCTCCCAAGCTCTTCTACAAACCGATACGGCATCAAAAATGTACAGTAATCCTTGCTCTGCGGAACCCACTGAAAACATCTGTGCATGGACAAGGTACCACAGATGGAGATGTTCTGACTACCTCCTGTTGTACAAAATCATTTATAAGGAGCTAGAAGACTTCAGCCTTCCTTCCTCTTCTCACATCCTCTTTGATGACAAAGATCTCATGCAGGTAACTGGGGATCCAATTAATTAATTCTCTCTTTCTTACACAAGTAACATCCGAGACCAAAAAAAAAAAATCTCCTTTTAAGACTCACGTCTTGAATTAAGTTTCTCTTCCAAATGACTTCACTTTACAGCTTTATGCCCATAGTCTGTAACCACCAGTAATATAAAAAATTCCCTAGGGAAGGATGCTAAAGGTTCTTAGTACACAGGCACACACACTTTCAAGACAATCTGTACTTCAAGTACAGTTGCAGTTATATCCTTACCTCCTTTTGTTTTGCACTGCTGCTAGCGCCACTTTTTGAAGCTTTAGTATTGCCACCAACAGAAGCCTGCAAAATTAGACAAAAGTTCACATGAAATCAGTTAAGCCAACTAACCTGTCCACAAGAGAAAAATTAATAACAACATTCAGCTATTTCTTCCCTTAATGAACTTTTTAAAGTTGTCCAGATTGCTGCTTCTGATCACATGCTTGGCAAATACAGATCTACGCCAACCGTCAGCGGTAGAGTCCAGGCATACAGTCTCTAGCAACAAGTCACAGGTAATACCTTGCTTAGTAGCCTCTTTTCAGTAACCAGTGTCTGTGCAGGACTTGACAAAGCAAATATCAGCTCACAAAAGGACAGAAAGCTTATTAATTCCCATTCAGAACTAATCCAGGAACATAAAGTTATGACACTCAATAGAAGACTCACTTCAAAAATACCTTCCTGCAATTTTTTCCAAGTAGCATTTTCAAACCAGTTACATTACTTGCGTTGCACACACTGCATCTACAAGCAACTGGTTGCCCGCCATCTCGCTATTCCAACTTGTCTGTTGGCCCAAACCAGCTGAGTGATTTACGGAAAAGGGAAGGGGAACATAATCTCATTGTCCCATACTCAACATCTGAGAGAAGCATGGAGTTAGTTACTGATCAGGCACACTGAACCGGCCTTCCTGCCCTCCTCACCTTATTGCTGCTGTTGTCTGTCTTCACGCTGGATGATCTACTCTCTCCCTCTTGAGACTGTTTTGAACTAGCCCTAGATTCCACTCGTGAGTCCTTCTCTTGCTGAGATGAATTCCTCCCATTGCCTCCCTTTCCATCAACCACAGAACTTCTGTTCACCGTACATTTGCCGCTGCCATCTCCCAGGCTCGAACGGCTGCTACCAGGTCTCGGATGACCCACTTCTTTTGATGCAATTTTCTTCTCCGCTGCTGCTTGGCCTCGGGTCTCAGGTTTTGAGGGAGCTGTCTGCTCCCCTCCTTTACACGGGGAAGGCTCATCTCTCTGTACTGGAACCCTTGACTTTGATATATCTGGAAGAGACACCACTGCCTTTAAAATTGTTTTACCAACAGAGGAAGATTCCTTGACAGGTAAAGAGGAGTTTAACGTAACTGCTTTGCAGGTCTCGTCAGTTTTTGCAGGTCCTGTTCCTTTATTTTGATGGGCTTTGATTAAACTTCCCTCGTTGTTCTCACTGACAGCGTTTGCAGCATTTTCCACAGCAGCCCCAACCTTGGCCACAAATTTTTCAAGTTTCTTCTCTGTCTCTGCCCCAGTCTTGACCAAAAGCTTTTCAGGGTTCTCCTCCGCAGCAATTCCAACTTGGAGCACAGACTCTTCTGGTTTCATTTCTCTGTCTGCTCCAGCTGTGTCCAGTCTCTTCTCCATGGCCGACTCAGTTTTAAGTACAGGTTTCTTCTCTGTGATCGGAGTTACAGGCATTTCATGTTCGGTTTTCACAGTGTCAGAAACAGGGTTTTTTTCAGGAGCATCCAACTTGTTTGTTTGTGTGACAACAGATGACACCATCTCCACCGAAGCTGCGTCAGAATCAGGGGGTACCACTTCAGGGATGGCCCCCGCCGTTTCCCCTGCTGCCAACTTCACAGCACAATGTGACGGCCCATCTTCCGCCTCGCCCACATCGGACAATTCTTCTGGTGGTTCAAGGGCAGGAGCAGAGAACTCTTCATCTTTCTCTTTAACTTCCTTCTCTGATCCAGAGCCAACAGCAGACTCGGACAACTCTGGTTCAGCATTACCTTCTTTCTCCACACTGGAAGGCGGCGGCAGCAGCAGCATCTCTTCTGACTTCGCTTCAGATGATTCGGTATCAGCGGATTTGATAGATGCCACAGCAACTTCAACTCCAGCGTCCACTTTCTCCGCAGACGTTCCTGCCAGGCTGGCAGCAGACTCCCTTACTGCTCCTTCAAGATGGGACTCAGAGGGCTCTATCTGTACTGCTGACATCTCGTCTTTGACATTAGAGATGGAAATGGGTCCTTTCTTTGCCACACTAGGCTCTACTGGAGGATTAGCAGCTGCTGTTTGCACCACTCCTGATCCCTCTGGATATTTTTTCAAGCCAGAGCTAAATGCATTTAAAAAAAACAGAAGAAATCAAACTATGTTGAGAATTCTACAGTTACCAGAAACCTCTTGACGCCAATGGTGGGGGATTTCCTGATGCATTAGTGCTTAGCATTTGGAAATCTAGCCTATCAGTGTTAAAATGGTTAAAAATATTGAGGCGAATAGCTGATTAGTTTTATGCTTCTGTTTAATCCACCTCAGTACCGCAAGCCTCTTACACTTTGAATTTCATTACTTGTAGTCAGACCTCTCAAGGTAGCGCTCACTACAGATGTGCCCTGCGACCTCAGCGCTGGCATGAACTAAAATTTAGATCCCCTGATGCGAGGCAGACTGTGAAAGCGCATATACAGCGAAAACAAAGCTTGAGTCTCCCTGTACCAAGGAATTACCAGTGGTTTATGTTTGAAGACCGCAGACTCTGCAGTCACCAACCTAGAGAACTTTTCCAGTAGCTAGGAGTCTGAAGTTTGTTCATTTTTTATTTGGTTCAGGTTTGGGGGAAGGGAGGGGTTGCTTTGGTTTTAAATGGCATTGACCTCGCATAATAGCGGGGAACACAATACAGGTACAGAGGCTCCTTTTGGCCAGGCTCTGTTTTCACTGTATAATCCCACTGTCAGTTCCCTGGATAATAAAGCCCAAGACGGCAATGCAGAGGATAGCGCTTTTCAGAGAACTTCAGTTACAGTAAGTGCATTATTCTTCTCTGAAAGAAAGAATCCTCCGTAGATGATCTTGGGAGACACTGAAATTCAAGATGTCTGTGCCCCTTTTCCCACAAAGCTCGAGAAAATGAGCATCCCAACACCTCACGCATCTCAAGATGGAAAGGTGCCGGAACACCAATGCTGACAATCTCGCTAAGTGTCGAAACAAACACAAAAAGCAGCCAACACACATAATTATTCAGTGGTTATGTACAATGGAGCAGCCTGCGCTATGGTTTCTCAGAACCGATGTACATGAAGAAAGGGGTGCACATTTGTATAAAACCTCATGAAAATGAAAAAGAGCAGAGAAGCCTGCCATTTGGTAACACTCCCAGCATGATGTCAGCAAGGAAATGGAAGGCTAGATCAAACGGAACTCAGTGCTGATGAAAATGGTACCAGGGTTAACGAGAGGAAGACACAATACATGGAGTCAACAGAAAGATGAAAACAAGCAAACTCAGTTAACATCTGTGCTATGCAAGCACAACAAAAACGCCGATCTCGCAGGTTTCCTCCAGACCTGAAGGCACTCTCCTCTGCTGCTACAAAATGTGAGAGGAGAGAGAAGAAGGGATATGAATTCTGCTTCAAATTCTTTCCCAACACCAATTTAAAGCTGGCATAGATGTAATACGTCATGGTTATGCATCAGATGGACGCTTGCAGCACAACACGGGGCGATCCCTCCCCGAGCAAAGCGGCAGGCCTGCAGCTTTCTGCAGCTTGGCAGGCGGCGCTCACAGGAGCCAACAGCATGCTCCCAGAGGAGCCCCACAAAATCCTGGGAATCTCCTTCAGAGCCGGAGCTGCTCAACTCACAGTAACTGAAGTATGATGAAAGAAAAGCAACCTCACTCATTCCAATATCCCGCTCATCTCTATCAGGCTTCTTAGACCTGTAATCAATTTAAACTTGTTACTTGCAAATGTTTTGGAGCAAGCGTGCCTCAAGAGTGGCTAAGCAGGCAGGGCTGATCTGCTTTTTATGCCACGGTATTGGTTTACTCAGTCACAACACAGAAGATATTTTGACCTCAACTAAACACTGTTTGGGTTCCAAAAGCAAAAACCATTTCAGTTAATTTTCTCTTCCATTTGAGCATCCTTCGGACCACTGAGATTTATGTCTCGCAGGTCTGTGTAGCAAACCACTGCCTGGGTAAGTCAGAGCACAAGGCCCAGAAGGGCAGCTCTGAAAGCCCACGTTTGTCACTGATGCGTAGAAAGTTTAATTAAATACAAGCTCCAACACCTTGCTGTACTGTACTCCACAGCCTCTGTTTATACATTTTTTGCAGGGAATGGAAAAATGTCAGTGAACATTGGAACCATACGCTAACTACAAAGCTTACAGCAAGTAGCACACATGTATTATGCTCTGGACAATTCAAATCAGACATTCGTCTCCAAATCCTCGGGACTTTACGTCTCCTTTCGTGCCAACACCCACCCTGTGCCTTCCACAAAGCCCTGGTGGTCCCCAAAATACAGTGATAGATTCAAACCAGACTGTGAAACAGCGGAAGGAGGGCTCTGCAGAAGCAGCAACGCGCAGAGATAAAGATGAGTGAGCCCGACGAAAGCATCAAGGTGCCTGAAGTAACACTTACACGACCTGCTAGGCATTGGGAAAGAAATAGCATGAAGACCTGCAAGACAGATTTCCCGCAGAGAAGTTAGGGTAAAGGGTGAAAGCAACACTACCTGGTGTCTGCACAGGACGCCCCTGCGCTAGCTGCTGTACGCAGCCGTTACTGCCCAAGTTAGCAAGGGAAAGGCTTGGAGAGTTCAGTCCTAGAAATGCCAGCACAGAGGCTGTGTCACAACGGAGCCCCAACCTGCTTCCTATACGTCAGCTCGGCATTAAAAGGACCAGTGCAGTGGGATGGTCCTTGAGTCTTAACCTGGCCAAGGAAAGTTTCAGCTATTTTAGCTGATGAAAACAAAACCCAGCAAAATGCATCAGCATCCTTGAAAAGAGCAGAGACATTCACGTAAACACGTCCATTACCTCAGCCCCAAGGTTAGATGAACTACCTACTCGGTTTGGACAACAACCCAGCTCCAGAAGCATTCCAAAGTTCTTTCAAGATCACCTCATCTTCCCAGGCAACCGAGGGCAGCCCCTTCTGCTACCCAAATTTTGCTACTCCTTCCCTCCCCAGAAACACATGCCAAGGTCTTCTTGTATATAGTAACATTTAAGATATTTTCTGCTTCTTATGAAATGTAACTAACAAAAACAATCCATCAAGTCACAAAGGCTTACGAGGAGAAGACAGTTGCCTCAGACAAGGAGAATGTGTATGGTGTTATTTGTTTTTTTTTTCCCACCTGTTCAACAGCCACAGCAGGATGCCAGGCAGTAGCTGGGATTCATGTGAAAGTCACTTGTTTTGATGAATTACCACCGCTAGCTGAAGCCTATCGGTCAGGAATCAAAAAGGTTACCCGCACGTCTGCCTACCTGCGAGTCAGAGACAGTCTAGAAACTAAACGCTTCCAAAAGTGACTAGGGTCTGAGTAGAAGTTTCATGAAATTAGGAGTGCCTCACTTTAGTTTTGAAAGAAACAGGTTTTGCAAAGATAGTAACAGTCCATGACAGTGTAATGGCATTACTTGAAACTGAAGTTTAGGATCATTATTACACAGTTTTGGTTTGGGGGTTTTTTAATGAAAAAACTTATCCAGAAATATGGATTTGAGTCACAGAAGGTGTTTTAAGTCATATTTGTTAACAAGAACTCTTATAATGATCTATCCATTTATAAAAAAAACCGTAAGACTCTAAAACCAACAAATAGTTACTCCACAATTAGAAATTTTACGGCAAGCAATGTCCATAAAACAATTTTAAATGGAACATACCAAAACCACCGTTTTCCATTTCTAGGTTCTGGTGTTAATATAGCATCTAAACATTTTTTAAAATCAATTCAGGGACCTGTATCACAGCATGAAGTTAATGTTAATAAGTTAAACAAGGAAGTTTCAGGTTTTTTTAGCATTTGGAAACAGAAACAGTAGAGCCAGGTGCTCTGACAGAGGAAAGAGCTGTCGGACGAAATAAAGCAATCGCTTCCTGGTTAAACACAACAAAAAAACATCTTACCAACATGTATGTCCAAACATACTTTCCAGGACCTGTGGTAAAATCCTGGTCAAATTAGTAAAACAGTAATAACTCAACGAACTACACAGAAAACAGCATTTCACCCCATTTGTCCATATTCTTTTCTTTGAAAGCCCTGGATTTCAAAGAAATCACAAACATTACAGCTCTGCAGCAATACACTAGATGTCCTGCACAAACAGAACACACAAAAGCTTGAAAGAAGGAACAGCAGGCAACAGTTGATGGATCTCGCAGCGGGCCTTTTCATCAGCCTTAGTTAGAGAGATGGCTCAGCAATCTGCTTAATCTTGGATACGCATTCCATGAACAATACAGATACATAAAAAAAACCTTAAATACTTGAAAGGCATACCTTCCTTTGCTTGGTTCCTCTTTCTTCACTTCTTTTTTCACAACTTCAGCCTGAAAGGCAAAAATCAGGGTTCAGTATCTATGACTTTCAGAAGCGTCAGCACAGAACTTGCATAACCCAGCTAATTAATAACACCGTGAACCCAAATTTAGGCACGTATCACCCGAAAGATCAAATGACAGTAAATCGTACTAAAACTGTTCCCCACAGAACATGTATTTCGTAAGACGACAAATAAAAGTGCACGGCAGTGTAAGAGGTTTTACTACAAGTCTGCTAGGCAGAACAGTGGCACACCATTAACCGTTTTGTTCATCTCATCTTCTAGGCTGTCACGTTTTTGAGCAGAATTAGCTTTTGGTCTGGGATACATTTGGGGGAGTGGGATCTTAAACACATCATTTCCCAGACAGCACCTCCCTTCCTGTACGGGTGAGGATGCTAATGGCTGCAGAGCTCAGGGTGAATGCAGCTAGCCCAACACCAAGTAGTACACAGAAAACAGCAGCACACCCTTTCTAAAGACAAACTACACTCCAAGTTGAGCGAGTACCTACAGAAAACCCAAGGCCAGGTTCTATTCCTTAAAACCTGCATTCATCTCTTGTAGGATGACTACACGTTTCTACTTACTGTTACATAGGGTAAATGTTAAATGACATAACGCCTTCT